CCATTCGGTCTTCACTCATTCGCTCAACGTGCCCAAACCATTGGAGTACGCCCCTATCAATTTTTGTGATAAGGTCATCTTTCAATCCTGCCATATTGCGAATCTCTTCGTTTCGCTTTCGATCGGCTATGGTAACGCCACACATTTTACGAAGAGATCGCATCTCCACTGCATTCAACTTGCTTTTATGCTTCTTCTGGCATACCCAGGTTTCGCTGCCATATAACAAAGTCGGTACCAACACTGCGTTATGTAGTGCAAGGCGTGCACTCTTCACCACGCCTTGCCTTTTGACTAATGCATTCAGGGCACTTTACCCATTGACTTTGTTTCCGGCAGCGACACGCCTATCCACATCTAAATCACATCTTCCATCCCGGCTGAAAGCACTCCCCAAGTATACAATTTCATTTACCTGTTCTAGACATTCCTGATTTACCCATATTTCACATTTCATTCTCTCTTCGTCCTTTTCAAATACCAGAACCTTAGTTTTATTAGCATTCAAACGGAGACCTTTAATTTCACATTCCTCTTTCATACACGTGACTAATGCCTGAGTTCTTCTGATGGTGCAATAAGCACTGCATCATCAGCATACAGCAGACAATTTACTTTAATGTCACCCAATTTCACACCCAAACAGCTATTTTTCAGCTTCTGTAAACAGCTGTCGAGATACAGTATGAACAGCCAGGAAGACATGACATACCTTGTTTTACGCCCGCTTGGACGCTAAACATGGGTGACAGGTCATGCCCTACCCGCACACAGGCTTTACAGTCATAGTAAAGTGACTGCACAGCCCTTAACAATCGACCATCCACACCATATCCCGGCAACAGTTCCCACATTTTCTTCCCTATAACCTTATCAAATGCTTTCTCCAGATCCACAAAAGCACAGAAAATCCTCTGGTTAACACTCAGAAGCTTTTCCGTGATCATGCGGAGAGAAAACATTTGATCCGTGCATCCTCTTCCAGGTCTAAATCCGCATTGTGCCTCCCATAAGAATCTTTCCGATTTCTCTTGCATCCTACGTGTCAAAACCTTCGAGTAAACTTTACTTGCTAAACTGGTCAAGCTGATCGCCCGATAGCACCCGCAGTCAAAATGTGAACCTTTACCTTTATATAAAGGTACAATGACCGCGGATCGCCAATCATCCGGGACATCTCCCGTCCGCCAGCACAAATTGCACAGCAGACGAAAGCTGTCCCAGACGCGAGGCCCACCGTACTTGACCATTTCAGCAGTAACTCTGTCTAGTCCCGCAGCCTTACCACATTTCAAACTTCGAATCGCACGTTCAATCTCTTTCATGCTGATGACCTCAGTGTCATCGAGGTCCGTGTCTGGCATGCCAGTCATGGCGTCACCCCCGCATCCTTCACTAAGATCATGACACGCATACGTTTCTCTATAAAATTCACTCCATCGCTGCATGACGTCCGATTTTTCTGAGAGGACGTCATTGGTTCTCGAAAGCACTTTGTTCATTCTTAAGGCTGTCGCACCACTCCGGGACCTTCCAACCTCTTTCCAGAAGAGTTTGGAGTTTTCCTTAAAGTTGTGCGACAACCTCTCGTCCGCTTCTATTCTACACCTTTCACGTACTTCCTCAATCAATGTTTTCGCATGAACTTTCTGCAGCTTAATATCTTTCTTTCATCTTCTCTCTCATTGTTATCGTTACTAGAGGCCAAATAGTCTAGCCATGCTTTTTTCTTCTTTTTTACAGCTTCTCTCACTTCATCATTCCACCATGCATCTCTTCTTTTACTACTACCTCTTTTTGTCGTTCCACATACTTCTTCCGCTGCACTTATCATTCCATCCCTAAGGTTCTGCCATGTTCTCTCCACACATTCTTTCCTGCCATCGATGGTGTCAAGCTTTTCGGCTACCCTCGTGTGATATTTGCCTTTATTTCCCTAGTATCCGCTTCCTGAAGCTTCCAGCTTCGGATGCGACAGTCCGACTGTGGTTCTGTTACTGTCGTCCGGTAGCGCCAACCCGCGAACAAACCCCTAAATCTAGTAATTACTAGATAGTGATCCGTTCCTAGGTCAGCACCCCTGAACACTCGTGTATCTATCACCTGTTTTCGCGGTCGGTCATCCACCAGGAACAAATCAATCATATTTCTCTCATTCTTTCTTTCATTCTACATATGGATTTTCCTGTGATTAAACATAGTGTTTGTCACAAGAAGACCCTTTTCCTTGCATGCAGATAGTATAAGCTTGCCAGCATCATTAACCCTTTTATCGCCAAACTTTCCAAGCACCGACTCGTATCCTGGTCGAGCGATACCTACCCATCCATTCAAATCACCACATACAACAGTTCTTTCGTTTCCCTTAACCAAATCTAGAACTTCTCTTACATTCTCCCAAAACTCCTCCAGCCCAGCCCTGGACGACGAAGCTACCGGCGCATAAACAGCCAAAAGGAATAACTTTGTCAGTCCCAGTTTAAAGCGAACCCAGAGAAGTCTTGAGTTCACAACCTTGTATTTAGTCTTAAGATCGACCAACTGGGACGACAACAGCACCCCCACTCCCTGGCAGGCGTTCTCGCTTTTCGGGACTCCGGACCATATAGCTACCGTCCCGCCGGGGAGCTCTTCAGTACCACTGCCTTTCCGTTTGGTCTCCGACATACACACGACATCTAATTCTCTTTCTTTCATTATTTCGATCAACTCATTCGTCTTATCTCTCATGCACCCTCTAACATTCTACGTGCCAACTCTGCACTCCGTCCTCCACCTTCCGCCGTGTCGGGCTGTGCGTGACGTGTGGCGGTCCCAATCGCCGCTTTGCGCGCTGCATTCCACACCAACGGGGACGAGCTGGTGTGCGTCGCCTTGGGGGGACGCCCTAACTCCCGTTTGCATGGGTGCGCAGCTGTGTAGAATTGCAGCCCTGAAAAGGGCTGGCAGGGGTCGCGACGAGCACGCTTCTACAATGACCCTACAATGATGAAAATGAATTATTTTAGTTCATAAATTAAACAAAGGATGCTAGCAATGCTTACATGCTTGCTCCAATTATTTCAACTAAGCTAAAAAGCTTGATATGAAATGGCGGATTGCGAATAGTTTGGCAATCCTTATTATTATCACTGTCACTTTTGTAGCTGTGATAATAATAGGGATCTGCCACTTTTGTGCCACGATGCAATTCTGAACGCATTGCAACGCCTTCCGTCTGGATTATGGCTTCGACACAAAAGGGTAGATCGGCCAGAGAAGGAAGAACCACGCTCTCAAAAATTACCAACGCAAAATGTCAGTGTAATGGTGCTGTGTTTCATATGGTGAGTGAAAAGAACTACTGCGCTATGCCATCTCAGCCCTAAGGGTGTAGAAGTACCTAGATGTCTGTGGGCCACAGCATCCACTTATCATTAGATGTACTGTGCGCTTGTTTGCTATCTAATACATAAAAATTAATGTTTGTTTGCTCGGATTTTACGCGCTGCCATACCGTTCATCAGATTGAGGTAAAACTTTGTCAACTTATTGGTTGCACTGGTTCGAAGGTTAATTTACTTATATGTAGTAGGTAGCGCGCTTATAGTACCGAAATATTTATTTGAAAGTCATATATCATTCAATTTCAATAAATGTATTATCATTCTCAACAATTTAGTCTTCCAAATTTAAAACGATATTTTCACAATTACTTCTTCTGCGGCAGCAACGCGCGTGGTACCAGCCAGTTCCTCAAAATTACCATTTCTCCGTATAACAAGCTAGCTCAGAAGCCGCTGCAGTGATATCTTAAGACCTTTACTTTTTGTCTTGTGATAGGTGGATGTACCGATTGCCACATTATACCAAGACGATTAAAACAAATAAAAACGTTTGCAGTACTGGCCAGTGTTGACATTATCTTAGTTAGAGACAGGAAGCATACGATTACTAATTACGGTCATATCCTTTTCGTATACGTCAACGTTAATATCATAGCAACAAAGTCATTTTCCATTAAATGATTCACAGAAGTATAACCGAGTCATTATTTTTTTCTATATATTAGTTAACGAATATAGGCATGATTTGCTCGTAGTTATCGGGGTTTCAATTCAATTTCTACCATCAAGTAGGTATTTCCGTCTTCTACACCAGCCTGTTAGAACTACGGCTGAGCACGAGCTCATTGGAAGGATAATTTACCCGCTGGGCAGACATATTGACGATCGCCGTACCAGATTTTGCAACTTCGAGAAGGTACCTTTGCCGGTCTGTTTATTTTACGCCCGGCGTTAACGAGGTAGTTAAACCACCAGCTATTGGAAGCAATGAGACGTTTTCGGCCATTTATTATACACATAACTGGTTTTGGCATAGATTTGTGTTACTAAATTGTAATTATAGCATTTAACAAAAAGTAAAAACCGACTTCAAATTCAAATTTTTAAAAAAAGTTTTTTTATATTTGCAACCCTTAGGGGTGGAATTTTTCCTACAAATTTATATGAGACTAAAGTATAGGTTATACTTTCGTCTCATATAAATTTGTAGGTAATTTAAGAAAGAAAGAATCATTAAAATCTGTTCTGTATCTGTGAAAATATCACATGAAATAGTTCAATATGAAACTTTTTTCCCATAAACTTTCTTAAAAAAGAACATACACTCGAATTATACGTGGTAGAGCCACGCTTATATGTGGTAGAGTCACGCTGCTGATGTATGATCCGTATAAAAACTTTGTTAGTTTAACCCACGGTGTGGAAAAGACCAAAAAAATACCTTATACCGCATGCGCTGCGGAAACTATTGACAATAGAGCCAAGTGATGTGCTACAGTTTTATAGAAGATATCAATATCTACAAAGAAGTCTGCGACACCATATGTCCAACTATTACAGTTATGTCACATAATAAATTTCACGCGGACGAAGTCGCGGGGTTCAGCTAGTAAAAAATAAATTGAAAACCTCCTCCTTTTTGAAGTCGGTTAAAAAGAAAACGGTTTTTTTCAGCCAGTATACATTCGGCAGCTACTCCACTTGGATCAATGTTATCAGGCCCTATCATGGAAGCCATAGGACGACGGCGGACCTTACAAGCGTCCACTTTTCCTTTGGTACTAGGCTGGATACTCATAGGCACCGCGGTACATCACGCGTGGTTACTGCTCGGTAGAATTGTATGCGGGTTCGCTGTCGGCATTATGGCAGCTCCCTCTCAGGTTAGTATCAAAAGCGGTTCTCAGTATAATTTACTTTACTTTACTTCTTTAGGTAAATTTTTATATATACGCCACAGCACACACACACGCACACGGCCACACACACACACACACACACACACACACACGCACGCACGACGACACACGCACACACGCGCAGCGCGCGCGCCACGCACGCACGCACATGCACGCACGCACGCACGCACACACACACACACACACACACACACACACACACAGCACGCACGCACGCACGCACGCACACACACACACACACACACACACACCAGATTTTATTTAAGAATATATAGCTATAAACATTACTAACATTCCCCTTAACCACTTGTTGTAGGCTTAAATTGCTTATGTTGCGAGTGGTTCACGCCAGTAGTCGAATGGCGGATTCGAACCCACGACCTTTTTGAGTTCGCAGTCTGTGCCCTGCCATTAGGCTATTGTCGCTTTTAATATTCTTCATTACTTCTATTTATATTTAATGAAATTGAATGAAGCATAAGAAATGAGCCCCCTATGAAGCAATTTATGGGGAAGGCTTATTTTCAGCAGTTAACTTTTGATAAGTTGTAATTGTATATTTAATCAAAATGGATGGGCTACTAAACGGAGTGACCTGGTAAGACACGCGGGAAGTCGATGGGTGCAGGTGGCTCAGGACCGTGCTTTGTGGCATTCCTTGCGGGAGGCCTATGTTCAGCAGTGGACTTGTGAGGGGCTGTAATGATAATGATGAGATAATAAAGACTATCTGCATATTGAGACAGAGCCGTGGTATTTCAGCAGCTAAGTGCATGTCATAAACACGCCGGCACCATTGATTGTAAACTGCAAGTGCTGATAATACAACACGTGATATACGTGAATGTAAAAACCACAGTAAGGAACCCGTGAAGCCCGCCAACACGCACTGAAACAGCACTGCGGTCTGTTTGTTAACCCGCTCAGAAATAAGAGGCATGTGCGGAGCAATGAAACGCATCTTAAGCCTTTGCATACAGATATGGACATTGTCACAATACTAAAAAAAGGTTTAGTTTAAATAAGGATGTTATCCTTCTTTCTGAAATCATCTTCGACCAATAAATCCTAATACTGTCGGATGTTTTTAACTACAAGACATATTATGGTGCAGCAAGTACTCGGGCAAACACAGTGATAGTCATTCGTGGAAACCTACTTGTGTTCGATATTAAGTATGATATGATATGATCGGAAATAAGCCTCCAGTGCGATTGTTAAATTATGATGGGAATCGTAGTTAACTTGGTTTTACCGTTTGACGTTTGATTTTGTTGTATTGTGTGAATTTAACAATATCTATTATAATCCGATGTCTTTTTTATAATATTATTTCGGATTATGATACAAAATAGTACCATAATGAAAAAATATAACACGTGCAGAGTGATTGCGGCAGGTGATTCGCACGGGCACACGATTCCCAACAGAATTACACAAACGCACTGCGAAGCACATCCAAAATCTAATAATAGATCGTCAAAAATTTAATTAGCTACTCTTCTAACCGCAGGTTTACTTAGGAGAAATTTCAGAACCTCGTCTAAGAGGTCTTTTAATAGGAACGCCATTCGCAGCCTATTCCCTAGGGGTGCTCTATGTGTATGCTCTGGGAGGCGCACTTCCCTGGCGCTCGGTATCGTTTCTGTGCATAGTCCTGCCGTCACTGGCATTCGCCGTGCTCTGTTTGTCTCCCGAGAGTCCTACTTGGTTGGCCAGGAGGGGACGTTTCCACGAAGCCATGGCCGCCATGGCAAGACTGCGTGGAAATCCTGAAATTGTAAGTAACTTATATATTCTCTACCAACCAATTTGAAATCCTAAGATCCTAATCCTAGACCCGCCCTTGCCTCCACAATATAATGGCACGCCGATGTCCAGTTGTGGGCTTTGCAGGCTGAAGAAGGAAAAGAAGCCAGCAATGACGTCACTTAAGAGTTTCTATGTCCGCGAAATGGACACAGTAGTTAGACAATCGAAATGTTTATATATGATTCATCGGACGACGAAAAGATTAAAGTTATTAAGCGTTTCACAGACTACGCAGATACGATAATATTTTATCTGGGTATAAAAACGTTATTATCTGAAAGCATCACAAGCTACGCAGATGCGATAATATACGAAATGATACATTCACTCGAAATCTTCACAAATTTACTAGGCGTGTTTTTTGGAGTGGATTGCTTATACAGAGTGTTCCTAAGAACGAATTGGCGTACGTTGCTTCTAGATTCGCTGGACAGCTCGTCAGAATAGGATTCAGATTTTGATTCTGATGCACATATTGCCTTAGCATTTAACAAAGGCAAAGAATTTGCATAGAACGTCATATAAAGCTTTAAAAGGACTGAGGCGAATTTAAACAAAAATTTTCAGCGACCATTCTGTATTTATCTGCAGGTACAATCCTATACCATATTTGTATCTGCAGAGACGAATATTTGTATGAGCAGATAATACTGTCACCATCTTTCAATATAGGTCAGTGTTTACAGATACTTTTAACTATATAATATAAACTATCCCCGCTATATGTGTTCATTAAATTTCATAGAGAGCGATATTGAAAGATATGCGCTCAGATACAGATATGTTATCGTAACTGCGCTTTGAGTACTCAAACTAACTGTGTGGTGTGTGACTCGCTTTATGGTTTTGTTTTCTAAGAGTAAACAAAGTAATTAAGTGAAAATGATCTAATTAAATCATCTTATAATAACGGCCTGCCGCCCCCCTACCGTTGTTTACAGAGCGTGGTCATTTCTATTAATTCGCGTTGACTTCGCCAATTTCTTTAACGAGCTCAATAAGCGAGCAGTTGACAGTTGACTTGAAGATTCTTGAGCCTGCGCGCGCAGCGATCAATGATCATTTATTAAGGATGCAATTTTTTTACATCGTGCTTTAAGTATATATAATTTTCGCCTAGCAAATTTAAAACAAATAAAACAATTTAATAAAAATTTAAAACAATTTAAGATGGTACGATAAAATTTAATATAAATTTACAGCGAGTGCTTAGCCCCTCTAAACTACAACACCTTATAATAACTTACTATAAAAACAACTTGGTTTGTATAGCAATCTCCTAAAATATAACACATATAAAATACCTACGTCTATAGTGCCTATTAAATTATTTTGGATTGAACAAAGAGACTTGCAGAAACCAATCCCCTTTTCTTAACCGAAACCCCTGATTCAGAAGTGGTCAGGTGGCAGTTGCGTGGCATGGTTCACAACCGCTCGGAGCCGTTAGGCCGCTAAAGTAAAAAATGCCAACTCATTTTCTCTAATTTCTGTAGTCTTTATATTTTTTACATTATATTTGAAATCAATAAAACAATATACTTTATATATTTTTTTAAAAAAAAATCTAGCCTTAGAAATTAAGTGCGTGTAGATTATCTCTATTTTCATATATTTCAACAATGCTAAAATTAAGAAGTTTCTATGTGGTGCCTAATCTTCCTTATTAATCCTAACCCTCTCCCTTTTTATCTGCAGCTCTGGCCCCAACTTGCTACGCCGCTGCTTCTGTATACGGGAATTAAAATTTTTATTAAAAATTAATAGCAATTTTCACTGGAAACGAGGCATTCCATCTTATTTCTCAGGGGTGACAACACATCTGCATTTTGGTTTTTGGGGATAAATGTAGATGTCTGTGGGCCACAACATCCACTTACCATCAGGTGGAATGTGTGCTCGTTTGTCAATGAAAAAAACATTGCGAAAAAAATTCAGAGAGGAGGTCCCTCGGCACATTATTGCCAATAATTCAACAGTATACTAAGAGTCTGAAAAAATGCTGGAAAAGTCTAGGTAGTCTAGTCACTAATGAAATTAATTATTCAATTATTTTATTCATTGCTATTGCATAATACTTATTGAAAGTCATTTTTTATTCAACTATAAAAACTTCTTTTATATGCATTTACATTAAAAATAAAAAATATGTCCGCGCTTCTTCGTTGCAACTTAACGTTATCAGCACATTTTTCTTTCACAGGCATACGAATATCGAATACCACACTACATAAGTCCAACTTTTGGGCTCGGGCCCCTTTAAGTTTTGAAAGTATTATTGGAACAAGACAACGTAGGCGTCATGACGAACTTCATATGTACTTCAAATATTTTTTGTAATTTTCTCTGTATTTTTCCACGGTGATATATTTTTTATAGAATAGGGTGACAAACGAGCACACAGTCCACCTGATGGTAAGTGGATGCTGTGGCCCATATACATCTGCACTTATCCTCGATTACGAATCAAAATGTAGATGCGTTGTCACCCGTGAGGACTAAGATGGAATGCCTCGTTTCTAGTAAAAAGGTCTTCGGTTATCTACACTCACCATACGAAACACAGCAGTATTAAGCTGCTATTTTATGTTGGTATTCTCTGAGAGCGTGGTCTAACCTCAGTCGAGCCGACCCTTTCGTGCTATAACCATAATATAGCTACAGCGTGGCTCTAATACATAAAAAATAAGTAATCGTAACGAAAATAATTACCCAAATCTTGTCAGATGTCCAATTTGGTTACATGCTCCAGCTACTAATCATCGCATCACACAGTACTTATATAAATTAATTCGTAAGTTTTTACTATATTATGCTAAATGAAACAGGCAAGTAAAAAATTGTTTTTTTCTTGCCTATTTTGCGAAGGCCTCTTTTAACGGTGAGATTCCAGTAAGTGAGCTAGCTGTCGCATTAATTCATTTCGTGTATAGAAATAGACGGCCAAGGCTAAGTGAATACCGATAGGTATGTAAGGTTGTAATTAAATTTTTATTTATTCTCTTAGACATAAAAAATATACACTTTTTTAGTTGTAGTAAGTAATCCAACACCAACACCCCTGATAAGGCTCAAGATGGTAAAACACATTAGCCTTATAACCTAGGAAGATACGTTTTGTCATAATACACTGCTAGGTATAGTCGGATGTGAAAGAAAAAAAGTAAAAATTTGTGTCGGCAAATGATTCTACTTACAGGCTTTCACAGAATGGTATGAAACTTCTGTGATTTATTTTTCTAATGCCAATAGATAACAAATCGCGTACCGACGCTAAGTCTTCCTAACTGCATGAGGAGCTTAATTCTAATAATAGTCTGTTGAACCGTGGGTTCAATCTACGGCAGCAATATGAAAGTTATTTATTACAATTTTAAGTGCTGACGTACCACTTGCTCGCCAGTGAAGAAAACATCGTAAGAAAACCTACATGTCTAAGAAATCAAAAATACAATACTTCGAAGCTATGAGAAGTACAACCGATGCAAAAAAGCATTTATTAAAAAGTATACAAGATAACAAAAAAAACCATTTGGATATAACATAATGTCTCCATAGAATAACAGCATTTTAACATTTTTGCTTTTAAAACTATAAAGTCATGAAGAAACACTTGATAGTTAAATTTTTATTGCCATATTTGCCACGATCTATTCAGTAGATGCACGTAGTTGGTTCGACGAATCAACGATCTATCAACTCTCTGATAACACCGACAGAACGGCGCTGTATGATGTATAGAGATAATTTTGTCCAATTTTAATTAAATATTTTTAATGCCAATATATTTCCTCACATTTTCCGTTTTTAAAGTTAAAGAAATATTTACAAATGTACCAAACTCACATCTATCTGCCAAATAAAATCAATTTTTATCTTTCGCCCGTGCACCATACATTGCACATGAGTTGTCATGTGATACTTGTGACTGTACATGCTTGGGGGAAAGTGAGTTTCATGTATACGTATACGTATACGTTACATTATATTTTTCTTCGTATATTAGCAACACGTTTGTATTATGACATTATAAAATGTAAAATATAGCATAACAGCCTATATACGTCTCATACTGAAACTGGGTGATTTTTATGGCTTGTGGTCGATTGTTCAAAAATGTTGTTTTTTTATTCACCATTTAGCATCCTTCAGTCGCCTATAAGTATTTTTCTTTCACTGAAATGCTATCATTAGGATCTATTAAAAAGGAAACCGTGGTTGATTTGTATCTAATATTTGACAAAAGAAATTATTATTTCTTTATGTGGAATAATTATATGTAGAAAATTGTGCTTCAGAACACTGAACATACTCAGCGTCCAATTCTAAGATCGTTATGTTCTCTCACGGAACAATAATACGTTTATCTTTCCACGACAAAGCATTTTTTGCCACTTTTTACATACATTTTAGGTAGCAATTTTCGTCATGGTATTATTATACTTTATAATTTTGTTAACGAGGAAAAACATCCTTTCGTAGTTGGAGAAATCCTTATAAGCATTGACCACGATGAATACTAAAAACAATAATAACAAATCTTTATGTATACTTCACGGTTATATTTCGTGTAGTAGCGAAAATGTTCACGTCTAACGATGGTGTAAGCATATGCACTGCCCACATCAGCCTGTGGGTGTCTTGAGAGGCGACTGAGGAAAACAGTGGGCAGTAGCATCTTCCTAATAACAACTTAAAACAATATGAAAATGAGGTTGCCAACTCGTTTTCACTTGGCCTCTCCGATTCATTGTTGAAGGTTACGACAACTAAAGCCTTCTAACTATGTAGCATATAATATAGTCGTATAACGCCTTTAGCGTCAGCCTTGTTGATCTAGATTCTAGACGAGCATGTGGTTCTGGGTTCAAATGTCGCTTCGGGCCAAAAATCTGTTTAGTTTTTTCTCAAAAAATTCTCAATAGAACCGAGTTTCAGGAAGTTGGTGGTGTTTCACCCCCGTGGCTCGGAAAGCACGTAATGCCGTTGATCCTACGCCTGATCTGTCTACGGTCGTGTCGAATTGCCGTCCTATCGAACTATAGAGTCACCTGTGCTTGCGTAGACGCTAATACTTCGTACGTCTTTCGCAGATGACTAATCTCGTTGAGACCGGCCGCCGTGATACAAATTCGGTCTGGAGAACATATAGAACCTTCAGATTATTTCCTTTTTTTGCGCCCGAAGCAAATATGGGCAACCCTTCGGAAAGCGGGGGAGAGAGACGGTGAATGCTTATGAATGGATTGGCTTACCGATCTGACGAGAGATCTCTAAGCCGTATACGAACGCGACCCTCCTTGGCAGAAATAAGGGCGCAGATTATTTCCTAGTCGCCTCTTATTATATCCATTTATCTCTGTGAACGGAAACGGCCAGAAGATACATTTACATTTATATACAGTATATGAGGCATTATGAATCATTGTGAAGTTTTAATCTTTTTTTCACATTTTTTTCAGGCACAAAGGGAACTTCATGAACTGATATCAGCGCGGGAAAAAGAGAAGGCACGAGGGGAGGAAACCATACGCTTCTTCGCAACAGTGTCGAGAGCGCCAGTTCTAAAACCCTTGTTATTGATCAACGCTTTCAACATGCTTCAAATACTTTCTGGCAGCTACATTGTTATATTCTACGCCGTTGACATCGTTAAAGAATCCGGTGGATCGCTCAATCCTCATGTAAGTTAATCATTATCATCATAATTTTGTTAAACTCCGCCCTCGGACTCTCCCCCATCCAAACTTAAACGAACCGTAAACTACTATACGTCCCGTTTAACATCATTTTCTAAACGTTCCACTATGCCTCCCACCGATGGCAGATGACTCCTCTCATTGCTGAGAGGGTTTTGGAGAGGATAAGAATCCACCGTGATGCCCCAACGTGTAAATTTCACATTTTGCAAATATTTTCATTGCTTAGACATGAATGTTATCCCACGATGTTTTCCTTATTTGCCAAGCTTGTAGTACATAAAATTTTATCTTTGCTGGCGGGTTCGAAGTGAGCAAATTGGTTTGAAGTGAGCGAGTTAAGAATACTCACCTGTAGATAAATGATTTGTCAGCCAAAAGCAAAACACAGCAACAAGTTGAAGGGGTTGACTCAGCATTTATTTTACACGTGTATAAAATATTGCAAAATACATAACGAAATGTTCTAGAATCAATTATACCGACATTCATGAGAATAAGTTATACGACACCGTTTGTTTTCTGTTGTTTCCAACTAACTTTAGAAATTATATTGAATATTATAAAATACGTAAGTAATAAGATTCTCTGGAACAAATTATGCTGACGTCCATGAGAATAAATTTTGGTCTCATTATTACAACTATATATAAGTCATAATCCATTTTTATTGTCATCCTGTTCTCAGACTTCGCTCGATAAACACTGTAACTCTGTTTTATTTGGTATATGTTTTATTGAATCGTGTATTCATACCCTGACTAGCGCTTATCCCTTAAGCTAACAGTTCATTAGAATTTATTTTCCTTTAATAAATAATTATTACTAGAATCACAACCTACACTAAAATAAACAGGACATTATCACCACACATTCCATACTCTGTACTAAAGACGTACATAATTATCATCCCCTGATAGTGAAATGTTTTTGCTGTAAGATTTGGTAGTCGAATTATTAGATCCCTTGGACATTGAACGCTGTTCTCTAGCATCTCTGATGGCTACTCTATTACCTCTCCGTCTTTGATGGTATAATCTTTTCGCTACCTGATATATTTTACGCCATCACACCATAGTAAACTTATTATATAGGCGAAAGTATACGTAACGTTAGATATTATACCGATTGAAAATGTAGCTGAGCTCAGCAAAGACTAACTGAAGCGGCTGAATTTGTAAATAATGGTAGATTCGCTCGTCTGATAACCCGATACTTTTTAAGAAGGAAGGTAGTTTGTGCATTTATTGTAAACGTTCCTTCCTTGATATTTATTTAAGACGTTTAGTTTGTTTAATTTAAGACATTTTTTGAGTTTAATAAATTTATAGAATTCAGATACAAAATGTCCTCAAAACTGTTAAAATGTTCGAGCAACATTGTAATAAATGAGACTAGCTTTTATCGATAACAAGAAAGATGTTATGGACGAAGAAAATCTAATAAAAATATGTCTGATTGCTAATTAGATACGATAATTACCTAAAATTGAAATAAATTCACCTTTCATAACTTCCTTCTAAAATCATTCGGTAACATAAAGAATGATATATCTGAAACCTTTTGTTGGCTATTTAACATCTACCCAAGCAACAGTTAAGTAGGAAAGACTTTTTGCCATTACAATTGATGAAATAGGTAATATACATAATATTTATAATTTTTTAATTACATTAAAACCTTTTTAACTATTTTATCCTACAATTAAATATACTAAACACTAAACAAAAACTATTTCAAGAAGTATTTACAAAAAACTATTAACGTAAACAGCGTTAAAAAGCTTTAACAATCAATCACCTACAACACGCTAGCCCCGATTGCGTATGTTACCCTGGGTGACTCGCAATTGTAGGTACATAATTATTTCACGCAGGTAGCAAGAGTGACAGAGTCATGGAGTATAGAGGTACTAAAATCCATGGACAGGGGGCTGCTATCAGTCGCTTCCGGCTTGACGTCGACTTCTGGGACAGCCTATATTTGACAACCTGTATGAGACAAAATTCTTAATTATATTATCTTTGTTACAGATTGTTGCAAACGCAAGCGCCTGCACTAGACTCGGGGTGACAATGCTCGCTTGCATCCTTCTACTAAAGTTAACGCGGCGTTCCCTTGTAATGATATCTGGCATGGGTTCGGCTATTTGTACCCTCGCCCTTTCCTTAGTACTTTACCAAGACGCCGGTACCGGTATCATCACACCAATTCTCATACTAGGATATGTCGCATTCAACACGCTGGCGTTCTTCTTACTGCCAGGCTTAATGATCGGCGAACTTCTACCAACGAAAGTGAGAGGCCTTTGTGGGGGCTACATATTCTGCGTTTTCAATGCAGTTCTATTCGGCTTTACTAAGCTGTATCCAGTCATGAAGAACTCCATAGGCATGTCGGGCGTCTTTTGCTTATTCGGGTCGGCTGCTTCCCTTGCCACTGTCGTCTTATTCCTTCTGTTGCCAGAAACTAAAGGAAAGTCGTTACTACAAATAGAGCAGTATTACCAAAAGCCCAACATTTTGTGGGTGACGCGCAATAAGACTGCTGATGGACAGCAAGTGTAAAATTAATGATAAGTATTAAGTTAATACTTAATTATCTAACATTAACAATTTTCTTATTCTCCCTGGGTTGACCCGCAGAGAATGTCATGAGGAATTAAGGCCGCCCCGTGTAAGAACCAAGTTGACTACAATAAAAATAAATAATGTAGGTAGCAAAGATATGACAAGCCTAAGGGTTCATTTTACAAACTACCCTGTTATATTTGAACCGTTACAAACTGTGTTATTAAATGTTGATAAATATGTAGTTAAAATTAATTATTGGACAAAATGTTTCGCTTCTCAATGTAGGCTATGTTCCTTATAAAAAGAGTGTATAAATATATACTTTCAAAACATTTTATAGCCATAACATATAATGTAACATCTACTGAATTGATTTTGTCTTCAGTAAAAGAACTGTGATGTGTTTACATGACCACTTTATTTTCTAACTATTGAACAATATATATTCACATTTGTAAATGTTTTGGATAGAATTTTATGACATTATTTACACTAGACATGTGAAATGTACAACTGGGTATTTGACACTAGACCCGTCCGGTAGAGAGTAATTTAGTTTTCTGCGGTTCTGTGCTTTGAAATCACAATTAACATACTTTTTAAAATCTATCAGAACAAAGAAGTTGTAGAAGTTATATCGGAATACAGTGTAATGACATCATATTTTTTATAGTCAAATAATCGTCTTAAATCATCTCAGTGAAAGAATATGTACTACGTACACAATACATTATACTTTTTTTAAAGAATAAGGGTGACAAACGAGCACACAGTCCACCTGATGGTAAGTTACTGTGGCCCATAGGCATCAACATTTATCTTCGATTAAGAATCAAAACGCTGATGCACTATCAAACCTGAGGACTAAGATGGAATGCTTCGTTTCCAGTTAAATAGTCTCAATTCTCTACACTCATCATACGATACACAGCAGCATTAAGCTGTTATTTTACGCTGGTGTTCTGTGGGAGCGGGGTCTCTGGTATGTAGTGTATTATCATCTATGGCGATGTCCTACCCCGGTCGAGCCGACCCGTTCGTGCTACAACCGTAATATATATCAGCAGGCTGCAGTGTGGCTCTGCCACATATACTTCAATGTCTTATTATATTGACCAAGTTTAGAGCCACTAGGTACTAAAAGTAGCAAATTTAAATTATATTAGTAGTCATTTATGTATAGTGTCAAGTAGCCAATTGTTGAATAATTAAATCTCTAGTGGCTTGATTGTAATTTTAAGATTAACAATATAACATAAAAACCACAATATTTTTGGAATACGACAGATTATATTGTCATATAAATTACCTGTATTATAACATATAGGTATATTGTTAAATGTTCTACAATTTTATGCTGATCCAATTGCAATGATTGCAATAGGAGATTTTTATCTGTGATTTTTATATTAACCTTATTGTTAACAACGAATTGTCGATGTACCTAAATGCTTTTCAAACTGTGAACTGCGTCTAAGCAGTTATTTTTACAGGCGCACATCGATGTTATAAATTGTGATATAAATAAAACACTATAGTATGAATATTTTTATTTATTTATTAATACATTTTTGCGTTGAGCTGCGGAGGAAGATATGGCTCACAAATAATTCTTCTGGGTCTAGATTTTTCCATTGTCCTATTTATATAGGTATGTATGTAACCGTGTAGAGGCTGTGTAAGGGTGTGACAACATCAATCAATCGATCGTCGATCCTTTTCTACCACCCCGCTCGATCGATGGTATCGATCAATTCAAGAACCCACCCCACTCCACCGACCGCTATTTGAAATGTCGTCTAGATGAATTTAAGCTATATCTGGCCTCAAAAAACGGTCCCATCCATAATCTACTACATTTGTGTCTTCGTAATAATGATTTTGGCCGCCGCTTGCTTGTTCTTTATACTATAAAAAAATACCAGCAAGTGCGTAGGTACTGGTCAACAATAACGCGTCCTCTTCTGAATACATTTTGAAAGATACTGATGATGAGCCCACAACCACATCGATCGACGTCGATCAATGATTGAACAACGCTTTATCGACCAGTATCAGTCGATGTACCTAAAATGAAAGCTACCACACCAATCGATCACCAATCGATCGACGATCGATTGGTGTGGTAGCACCCTAAGAATTCTACTGCCTCATATCATCCGTGGGTGTCGTAAGAGGCGAGGGAGGGAAACCGAACCATATGGAAACAGCTACTTCTTTATAACAGCTGAATAAAATAGTAAACTGCGGTTGCCAATCGTGGCAACTATGGCAAACATAGCTCCTATGCGGCAATCTATAGGAGAGGGCTATGTTCAGCAATTGACTTTTGATAGAGATGTGGTCCTTCACTGCTGGCCGTATGAGGACGCTCAAGGTCGCTCAGCGAGCTATGGAGAGGGCTATGCTCGGAGTTTCTCTGCGTGATAGACTCAGAAATGAGGATATCCGCAGTAAAACCAGAGTGACCGACATAGCCCAACGGATAAGTAAGCTGAAGTGGCAATGGGCCGGCCATATAGTTCGAAGAACCGATAACCGATGGGGAAGAAAGGTTCTCGAGTGGCAGCCTCGTACCAGTAGGCGAAGTGTAGGGCGACCCCCACTGGATGTTGTGATGACCTGGTAAGACATACAGGAAGTCGATGGATGCAGGTGGCTCAGGACCGTGCTTTGTGGCATTACTTGGGGGAGGCCTATGTTCAGCAGTGGACTTGTGAAGGGCTGTGATGATGATGATGATGATGATAAGGCTGCAACTGCATCAACCCATTTCAACTTATGGGTGACGTAAGAAGCGACAGAGGGAAGCACGACCAGATGAGCACCATATTCCTCTTAAGGCTGAATAAAAAATACTGTGGTTGCCAACTCGCTTACCAAGCGTGGCAACTATCGCAAATATATATCCCTCCTATGGGGTAATTTTTGGAAGGGGCTTATGTACAGCAATTCCGGTATAATGAAGTGCTAGCTGGGCATAATTCCGTTGTAGCTGATGCATAAATGATACAGGTCATCCTAGTCCAGCTGAAAATTATTTCTAAAAACTGTCCTTCGATATATCGAGGTTATTCTGGGAGAACCCGTAAGTAGAGATATTGTTATATTAATAAAAAGACATTTAGTTTAGAATTATCATAGGTCATAGACAAAGCATAATTATAGAAAATTTTCACTATTTGTACTAAGATACATTGTTTTGATACATTAATTTATGCAATAATTGTCATAAATAGTTAAAAACAGAGTAAAGTTGTCGTGAAGGTATTGCAGTTATAATAGGTACATAAATGGGCTGTATGTCTCTTAAATACATATCAATCTTTTCAATCTTTACGTACTATATTGGGAACTTGAGTTAATTCACTGTCCCTTATCAAATTAGTTGATGTTAAATATAAATTGAAATAATATTCCCATTATGGCGGTTTATTTTTTCTCAGTTATCTAAATTTTTGGGAAAATTTACAGGTACAACAGATAATTATTAAAAAATAGGCGATATTTATTTTATTTAAAGAAAGCTGTCTTACGTTTAAACAGTTTAATCCCGTTGATGAAACAGCACTCATAATAATTATTAAGAAAAAATACGAGTAAAAGAAATTACGTAATAGTTTCCTCGCGAGACATCTCATCCTCCACTTCAGCCTCTTCAGGGGCACTGACCGTCTTCAGATTTTTATACCAAGGCTTCAATTTTCTGGTATTATAATTTTGTAACCAAAGTTAGTAAATCCTTTTTTTGCTTCGGATATAGGTAATGAAACTCATCCTGTGCCTTTCATTTTGTTCGTGTAGTTCCAGTTCTTCTAAAAATTTTGCTTTATAATCTATAAATGATCAATATTCTGAATATCCCACACATATTGATTCTTATTTTGACCTGAGCAAGTATCAGAAAATAGGCGTATGTCAGTTACGTTTGCTGGAATACATTCAGTTGAAATAATGTAAGAAATCATTCCAATTTTGCAGCTACCTATTTTATCGTTCAGTTCGCACCATAGAAAACAGTATGTATTATTGGGCAGACCTGCTTCATAAACAGTGAGATTAAACACACTTAGGCAAACTTAGGCATCAATCAACGCGAACGTAGGCAAATTTATACAAGGCGAATGTTACAATCTACATTTTGGCCACGTTAGAATGAGTGAACATACTGACATGGCCGACTAGCGAGCGCCTTTGATATGTGCAGAAAACCGATACTGTTCCGAAGTAAGACGCGTCGTGGCGAGCGATCCCGAGTTGTGGCAAGGCAAGCCAAACGAACCGCACATCCGTTGGAGCTCGCCTGCACTCGGCCAGCTAGGCGAGCTAAGACGAGCAATGGCGACGAGGCTAAGGGGTGAGGGTACAAATGCGGTGTCATTACGTTGGTACTCGTCTTCGCTCGGCGAACACGTATAGTTTAAAAAAATTATGAGAAATATAAATAAAAACACAAAAGAAACATTCAACTTAATTTATTATAAAAAAAACTTAAACACTATGAAGATTGGCGGGTCACCGCGTATCGGGTAGCCGTTGATACAAATGCGGGCGCGACGCGCAGCCGGGGCACACGTGCAACGTGCACGAAATCACGCCCTCACACTCCCAGCAGTAGTACTCGTGGCACCTCGTGCAACGATATATCTGAGAAAAAATTACACACTCAGAACATTTTACTGTTTCTATATCATTTCATCAAAATGTAATAAATAAGTAATTTGTATATCAGTAAATTGAATAAGTAATAAATTTACTGATTAATTGAATAAATTAATTTAATTATTCCTGTTAGATCTATCATTATTCATTACAGATAATTAAAAAAATCTAAACATTCCTATATTGATTAGGTCAACCCAAATAAAACCATACGCGTGTACAATTTAGTTTAAGATTATTTATAGCTAGGCATTTTATGATTTTTTATAGTACGTAGGTATTACGTAAATATAATTTGCTTCGGACACCATCCACAAAACTAAATCAAAGAC